TCAGAATACTGCAAATGCGATGAGGTGAAATATGTACATATTTTCAAAGTCAAGGGTAGAGCAACGAAAACACTCGTTACCTCTCAAACCAAATGGCTAAATATCTAAATACCTGCACAATTTGAATCATTACTTACCAACTGATTTCTTGGAAAATTCAGAATTTTTGGACATTCAGTTATGTTAGAATTCAGATGGGAAAAGATCGGAATGCAAAAAATAAGTGAGGTGAAATATGTATGAATTTTGAAAGTTAAGGGTAGACACACGAAAAGACTCAATATTTCTCCAACCAAAAGACCAAATATCTAAATACCTCCTCGATTTGAAGCATTGACTATTCAGAACAGATTTCTAATAAAATGTAGACTGTTGGAGTTTAAGTTATGTCAGAATTGAGAGGGGAAAAAGATTGGAATGCTTCAAATGTGATAAGGTGAAATACCTACAAATTTTCAAAATTAAGGGTAGAGTAACAAAAAGACTCCATACCTCTCAAACTAAAAGACCAAATATCTAACTACCTGCTTGATTTGAAACATGGACCATTCAGGAAATAGTGTTTTCTTTCAAAATTTGGACTTTTGGAGCTTTAGTTATGTCAGAACTGACAGGGGAAAAGATTGGTATGCTACAAATGTGATAAGGTGAAACGTACATATTTTCAAAGTTAACGGTAGAGCAACGAAAAGACTCAGTACCTCTCAAACTAAAAGACCAAATACCTTAATACCTGTACAANCATTAGGATTAGTCCTTATACAGAGGCAACTTTGCTGCACAACCCTCCAATCATAAGATCAACTTGCAAAGGAGAAATAAAAACCAGGAAGAAACTGCCCTAAACATTCACCTTTATTACATAAGCCTTGAAGCTTTACGTCGTGGAGACTAAAACCAAGGCTTGTGGTAATACATTATGTGAATAGATCTCTCTTGGAAGAGGTAGGTTTCCGATGAGAACCATTGAGCGTGTACTCAACGTTTCAACCAGCTGCTCTCATCATCCTCAAGAGTGGAGTCCAAGCCATGTTCCAGATTTTAAGGAACAACTGCACATTTATAAAACTCAGGAACAGCTGGAACATGCCTTTTATTATGAGGCTAAAATCAGAACACAATATAAAGTGCTTACCAAGTGAGTAGTGTTGGCAGTAACAAATATCTGAGGCCCGCAGATGCACGGCGCTGTGCGGCGCTGGTGGGAAACATGCATAACAATGGTGTCACGGCTGCACGTACTTAATAAACATGCTGTCGCTGTCTAAACATGTAATCAATGCAGCGTCCCATGGCATCCTGCAGCATGCTGAGTTTTTTTTTCAGATCATTTTAATTACAAAAAACATGGAAAAAATCTTG